TCCCCAGAACTCGCTGGGGACTATAGAAAGAGAAAGAAGAGGCTCTCAGGAGACAGAAGAATTGCTTGGGGTTCAGAGAGGTCAGAGGGCGTGAGGAGGGGAAAGCAGGGGGGGCAGGGAATGGATCTTCTTTGGTGGGGGAGGAGGGCTAAGGGACTGAGATTAGTTGGGATGAGGAGGGAGGCAGGAGAGGGGAGATGGTGATGCAGGGACAGAGAGGAGAGGCCTGGGGGTTTCCTTTACCTTTAGGGTCCATGATGGCTGGAGGCGCAGGGCTGGCGTGTCCACTCTCAGTCCACGACCGCAGAGGCCCAGAGTGGGGGTGGGGCTGCCAGAGGAAGGAGGAAGGGGCCGGTCTAGCCAGGTCTAGCCAGCCCCTCTCCAGTTCTCTGGAGCTCTCTCCTGCCCTCTCCCAGGAGCCCGGGCCCTGGACACACCTTCTCCTTCTGCTCTCTACGTGGGACAGGAGGAGCTCTCATTTGTGTAGCTCAGAAGTGTGTAACTCAGAAGTCTTCTCCCTGAGCCAGAAGCCCAGGACCCTCCACACACTCAGCCCTCCCCAGGCTTCACATGAGCAGGCTGGAAAACTTCTCTGATGGGTGCCCTGGGAAAATCATCAGCCTCGGTCCTGGGTTCAGATCCTAATTCCATCCCTTTTGATCTTGAATACCTTCTTGGCCTTTTCTGTGCCTCATTTTCCTTAGCTGTTAAGATGTGATAATTCCTCCCTTGTGGGTTCAACTGATAATCAAGTGAGAAAACTCTATGAGTAAGAGTAGAAAGTCAACCCTTCCCTTCCTTTAGCTCCTTTTCCCAGGGTCCATCTTGCACCTAGGACCTTGCTTGTCTCACTCTAGTCCAGGCTTCCAAACTGTTTTATCCTCGATGCCATGTTTATCCGGGTTTCTCTCTTGAAGGCTCTTTGCTGGCTCTTGCAAGTCCTTCTTCCTACAGTCGACATCTTGGTGTTCCCTCGGTGTGGTGGGACAGTTTCTCTTCTCCCCCTCGGGACACAGCTAAACTACATTTCCAGGCTCCTTTGCACTGAGGCTGCCACATGACTGGATTCTGTCCAGTGGAATGTGAGGGAAGGTGATACCGTCACTTCCAGACCTGGCCCTTGAAAACCTTCCCATCATGCTGCCCTCTCTCTATCCTCCCTATCTGGCGAATGGCAGAGCTGCAAAATAGAAGGAGCCTGGGTGACTTTATGGAAGCCCACTTTCCAATGGCAGCAAGGAAGAAACTTCTCCTGAGTTATACCCCTGACATTTAGGGGTTGTTTGTTACAGCACCTAGCCTGTCCTGACTAAATGACTAAATCCTGAGCCTCTCTCCATGGCTCCCTTCTCATGCTGCATGGTGAATGGCACAGTTTATGCATTTATCCATCAGTGTCTTATTTATTTATTTATTTATTTATTTATTTATTTATTTATTTATTTAATTTTAGTGTCATTATTTAAATTACTATCTACAATCAGATGATTCTCAAATCTCTAGCTCTGACTTCCCTCCTAAATTCTAAAAATTAACTTATGTTCTCCCCCAAAACTGCTCATCCCTTTGCATTTCTACATAATCCTATCTGCATCTACTCCACCTCCCAGGATAGAAATCTCAAAGCCTAACTTCTTTTTTTTTTTTTAAGATTTTATTTATTTATTCATGAGAGACACACAGAGAGAGAGAGGCAGAGACACAGGCAGAGGGAGAGGCAGGCTCCATGCAAGGAGCCCGATGTGGGACTCGATCCTGGATCTCCAGGATCACACCCCAGACTGCAGGTGGCGCTAAACTGCTGCGCCACCAGGGCTGCCCTCAAAGCCTAACTTCATTCTTCCCTCTATCACCCAGCAGCCAATTAGGTCTAAAATTTGATTTTCTGAATAAGTGTATTTCAAATTTCACCTTCTTTTTGCCCTTAGGCCAGACCCCCACTATATCCAAATTGTACTAGAATAATGCTCTCACCTTGGGCTGTACTACCTCAGGCCATCCTCCTAGATGCCAGTTTCACTCAAAAGACAGATCCCAGGGGCACCTGGTGGCTAAGTCAGTTGAGTGTCAGACTCTTGATTTCAGCTTGGGTCATGGGATCTGGCCCCACATCAGGCTCCATGCTGGGTATGGAGCTTGCTTGGGATTCTCTCCCAAGAGAAACTTCTCCCTCTCTCCACACTCCCACCTCTGTTTGTGTGTGCTTGCATTCATTCCTCCCCAAGTAACTGAATAAAATCTTTTAAAAAAGACACATTCAAACTTGCTACAAGTTTACTTAAAATCATCATTTGTTCATTCATTAATTCCTTTATCCCTCCATTCAGTAAACACATTAGGTGGCTACCATGTGCCAGGCCCTGGACTCTGAAACCACAAAGATGAGCTGTGGATTTGGAGGGGCTCTAATGAGTGAGGGACACCTCCACATAACGACAGTCCAGTTGTTGTGCTGTTGCATGAGGCCCTGAGGAAGAAATGCTGTTTCTGTTAGGGTGGAAGCAGCAAGGTCAACTTCACAAAGGCAGTGACATTTGAGCTGAATCTTGACAGTTGAGGAGCTTGGCAAGAAGTCAAAATGTGTGTGTCTAGGACAAGCTGGGGGTGGGCTGGTTTCAGGCAGAGTGCATACAAATGTAAGAGAGGGTATGTGGCTCTCTTCATGACCAACCTCCTGGGATGGATCTGGCCCACAGTCCAGCTGGGCTGTCTGGATACCACAAGCTCGGCAGGCAGGTACCCAAGGAAACTGAAGCACACAGGAGCCTACTTGCAGCTCATTGTCTGGAGCAAATAGATTGTCTTCAAAGTACTCTGGGTTTCCTTTGTCTAATGGCTCTAACCTGAACTCCCCCAGAACAGACAGCCACCCATCGTGTAGGATCCTCAACCAATACCCTCTTAGAGTTTCAAAGTTTTCTCTCCACTTTTGTCTGGGGTCTGCTCTTGCTATTACTTTGGGAATCTTAGAGACTTCTGATTATACTCCTCTCTTGTCTTGTTAACAGTCTCAGCTTAATCCACCTCCTGGCATGTTTGCTGAGCTTTGGGTTCAGAGGCGGGGTCTGTTTCCCATTCCCTCAGCCCAAGGACTTGGAGGACTTGGAACTAGCAGGCATCCCCTCTCCCTACAACCCACCCTTCATGGACTCTGCCTGCCAAACTCATTAGGGTCCAGAGTCAGAAATAGGGATGTAAGGGACATTTAGGTGTAAGTATCCATTTTCAGAAATAGATATGTCCTTAGAATCATGCATGGAGACCCTTTCCTTGTGTGTAAAAATGAATTCTATTTTGAGATTTAAGATTTTCTCTAAGTTCTTTTACCATCTGGAATTTTCATTTTGTATGACAAAGCTTTCTTTGTAGCCACAATTTTTTTAAAATATTTTTTATTTTATTTTTATTTTTATTTTTATATTTATTTATTTATTTATTTATTTATTTATTTATTTATTTATGACAGTCACACAGATAGAGAGAGAGAGGCAGAGACACAGGCAGAGGGAGAAGCAGGCTCCATGCACTGGGAGCCTGACGTGGGACTCGATCCCGGGTCTCCAGGATCGCGCCCTGGGCCAAAGGCAAGCGCCAAACCGCTGTGCCACCCAGGGATCCCGTGTAGCCACAATTTTATTTTATTTTATTTTTTAAATTTTTTAAAGATTTATTTATTTATTTATTTATTTATTTATTTATTTATTTATTTGTGATACACACACACGAGAGAGAGAGAGAGAGAGAGAGAGAGAGGCATAGACACAGGAGGAGGGAGAAGCAGGCTCCATGCTGGGAGCCCAATGTGGGACTCGATCCCGGGACTCCAGGATCACGCCCTGGGCCAAAGGCAGGCGCTAAACCGCTGAGCCACCCAGGGATCCCCATGAGGCCACAATTTTAATGTGCACTTTTTACTGTCTGGACAAAATAAATACCTTTAACATCTTATTTTTTATTTTTTTAAATTATTTTATTTATTTATTTTTTTATTGGAGTTCAATTTGCCAACATATAGCATCAAGTGCCCCCCTCAGTGCCCATCACCCAGTCACCCCATCCGCCTGCCCACCTCCCTTACTTTTAACATTTTAAACTATACCCCCCCTTCCCTCACACACACACCAAGAAAATCACATGGCATATTCAGGGAGCTACAAGGAACTTTTTTTTTTTTTTTTTTAGATTTTATTTATTTATTCATGAAAGACACACAGAGAGAGAGAGAGAGAGAGAGGCAGAGACACAGGCAAAGGGAGAAGCAGGCTCCATGCAGGGAGCCTGACGTGGGACTTAATCGCTGGTCTCCAGGATCACGCCCTGGGCTGAAGGCAGGTGCTAAACCGCTGAGCCACCCGGGTTGCCCTAGTACAAGGAATTTGATGAGGCTAGAGTGCAGTGTTTGCACCAACGACTGGCCAGGCAGACCGAGATCTTAAAGGGGTCTTATCCTGCATGCTAAGGCTCTATCTTGAGTGCCAATAGAGGTTCAGGGATAACCTGGACAGAGTGGTCTTTTAGAAGGGTCAGTGGGACCATTGTGGACAGAGGGTGGAAGTTATTTGGGTCAAGAAACCCAAAGAGAAGACTGGGCAGGACTCAGGCAAGATGTGTTAGGGTCTGGGAGAAGGAACAGCTCCAAGGGATTGTGGAAGAAAGGTAGGGGAACTTGGCACCCAAGAACCAAGGGCAGGAAGGAGTGTGGTTTTGTGAGGCCCTGAAAGAGTCTAGAACATACTTAGGTTTGGTGACCTCCCCATTGCTTTCAGAACTGAATTCAAACTCCCTTGCCCTTCACAGAGGACCTCCAACCTGCCCTTCCAGCCTTCTCTCCTTGAACCAGACATCTCATCCTCTCAGCAGACACTTTCTTGTTGATGTGTTTTCTAATTTTAAGAGTGATAGGCTTTAATTATTTAAAACTTGGAAAACACAGAAAGTATAAACAAAACAAAAATCATTCATAAGCTTATTACTGACAGATAACTACAGTAAACATTGGGGATATACCCTTCAAATATTTTTCTTTTTTAAAAAAACATTTATTTATTTATTTATTTATTTATTTATTTATTTATTTATTTAAGAGTATGTACACGAGCAGGGATGGGGGTGCTCAGGGAGGGGCAGAGAGAGAGGGAAAGAGAATCTCAAGTAGACTCCTTGCTAACCATGGAGCCTGACTCGGGGCGTGATCTCACGACCCTGAGATCACAACCTGAGCTGAAATCAAAGGTCGGCCTAATAGACTGAGCCACCTGGGTGCCCCTATGTTTTTGCATTTTCATTGCAAAAGTGAATTTGTAAGTATTTACAGATTAGTAACCAGTTTTCCTTCCCAGGTAACATTATATTGTAGACATTTTTCAAAGTCATTGCATAGTTTTTGAAAACATGATTTTTAGCATGCATGCTTTCATTCAGATGACTATTTCCTGAGGACCCCCCACTTGCTGGCATAGTAGCCACCTGGAGCATAGCAGTGAATCAGACAAAGTCCCTGAACAGGATCCAGAGCTAAGTCAGGTCTGCAGTGGAGCCTCCTACCCTTCCCCCAGGAACAGTGTGTGCACTTGTAAAATTTTGTCTGTGCCTCTATTTGAACACTTTTCACATACTGTGTTATCTTCCAGGCTGCAAGAGCCCTACTGGGTGCCTTACCTATCCATCCCATTTCCTTCAGGATCCACCCATGACCCAGACACCAGGAGTAGTTCAGAAAAGGAATCACACGTGTCCACAGAGAGGGACAGAGCTGATGGCCTCTGAGTTCGAGACAATATTCTTCTAAACCTGAAATTGGGGTGCTCGGTTGGGCAAACCTGTGACAACAGTTACAGTGTGTCTGAGGGACTTTGGGGACACAATCTGGCTGCTCCAGCTAAGAGCAAGGGAGTTTGAATTCAGTTCTGAATTGTCTAAACGGCACCTTGTGAGAAGTGGGAAAAGACACCCAGGGACAGCTGTGGTGGTACCCGGCTTGGCTGCTGAGGGCTGTATTTCTGTCCAGCTCAGCCTGCCCCCAGACCAAGCACAGGCGGCACAAACCGTGGTGGCTGTATGGCTGCATGGCTGCGTGGATCCATGGCCACTTTCTGTCCCTTCTCTGTCTCTCTGTCTGTCTCTCTGTCTCTCTGTCTCTCTCTCTCTCCCCTCCCTTCCCCCCAGGGCAAGAACAGATGCCGCACCTGCTTCCAGATCCCTTCCCTCCCTTTTGGGCCATGGGGCAGTCATGCTCCCACCCTTCCAAGGACCTCTTCTATGTAGTTCAACCTGTCTCCTCAAAGCTGCTGTGCCTTATGACTCAACAACTTCCTCTTTGCAAATTTCCTCTTTGTCCTGGGGAAGTACCTAGCGCCTCTGGCCTTGGCATGGCTTATGTGGCCCCTGGGCTCTGGCCTGGAGTGGGGTCCTGTCCCCACCCCTCCCAGCCCCCACTCCCTTCCTCTCCTGGAGCCACAGGTGAAGCTCCCGGTTCTGGGGGCCTGCCGGTCTCACTGATTCTCCTTGGAGGAGGGAAGGAGCCCCATGGGAGATGAAATGCAAACATATTACACAGGTAACAGCCAGTTCCCCCGCTCTCTGGGCTTCCTCTCCCCATTCCTGGAGAGTGATCGGGCTGGAGCCTGGGAGGCTGTGAGCAGGACAGACAGAGGCCTGAGCTGAAGAACCACACTCAGGTCACACCAGAAGTCTTTCCATCAAGCCCGGCATTCTTCACTGGGCCACAGACAGGGGCAAATCCACTACCCCCACCCCACCTAAGCCCATGGGATGTCAGCTGGGTGGCAGCTCTGCAGCCTCTCCTGCCCTGGCCTCACTGCCACACTTCACTACTCACCGCCACCACTTCACACGCAGAGCCACAGAGCCGAGCCTGTGCGTCTTGCACGCAAACTGCACCCATGGCCGGGCCCACGTTGGCGCTGGGGCTTCTGAGAGTTACACCTGCCCGGAAACGCTTCTCACCCCTACCTTGGGGAGGAGGAACTGCCGCCTCTGGCAGCCTCAGTCCACAGGCTTGCGGAGGGGAGCGTGGCAGCGTGAACCAGGGGCCAGCCAAAAGTCCATGTGCTGTCACCAGGCACAGTTAGGTGATGTTCCCCGGCACAGAGCACTGCACAGAGTTAGAGGAGGTTTGTGGGCTGACTGTCCAAGAAGACTGTCCCAGTCTATGGACCAAAAGTAGTTTCCAGAATGATCCTAGGTGGGATCACTCTGGGTTATGACTTCCATCCTCTTTCCTAGACTCCGCGGTCCCCAGGGGATGGGGGGGTCCTCTGAGAAATTACAGGTCAAGGAAGCTCGACATTATGGAGACTCCTGGAGACTGAGCAGCAGCGGGGAGAAGTCAGAATGGAGGAGGAAGGGTTATTGGTTCAGTTTGAAAGCGCCTCCGTGGGTGTAGGCCCTCCAGGCACCGGGTGTGGGTGCTGGCTGGGAGACCCTGGGTTGAGAAGCTGCGTGGGGTTCAGGACAAACATGCTGGGTGACAAGGAGCCTTCAAGTGATGATGGGACAGCAGGTGATAGAAGCCGGGAATGATTCTGACCTTGGCTCTCTTTCTTCAGAAGCACTGAGGGGCCTCCACCTCCCCGGCTTCTGGTCCCTCTGAAGCGGGGGCCTCGGCAGCCTCTTCCTTGCTGTCCATCAGTGGCTCCTCCTCCCCCTTTGGGACCAGGGCTGACCTGGCTTCCAGCTCCACCAGCTCCACTGAGTCCCGGTGTGACTCGCGTTTTTCAAAGAATGTGGTGAGCATGGGCTGCTGGCCAGACCCATCCACCTCAGACACCCCGGGGCCCCTCTCACCGCCAGGCCCTCCTGCTGCTGCCATCAGGGCCTCCTCATCACACACCCGGACTGGCCCAGCCCAGGCATCTACAACCCCGTTGCGCTTTCCACCCCTGCCTAGTGTCAGGACCCCCGTCCGCCTCTTCTGCCGTTGGTGCCACAGCAGGAGTAGGCCCAAGAGGACAATGACCACCAGCACAGCCACCAGCACAGCCACCAGCTGGGTGCGATTTAACTCCTGACCTAGAGGTTGGGAATCCCCACTGGTTCTATTGGTGGATATTTTTACCGTGGAGATGGGGAAGCCACTGGCCCCCTTGGGGGTCTCCAGAGAGTTAGTCGCCATGATGGTGGAGGGTCCACTGGCTACAGTGGAGGTCTCCAGAGAGTCAGCTGCCATGGTGGTAAGAGGCCCACTGGCTACAGTAGAGGTCTCCAGAGAGCCAGTTGCCATGGTGGTGAGAGGCCCACTGGCTATAGTGGAGCTCTCCAGAGAGCCAGTTGCCATGGTGGTGAGAGGTCCAGTGGCTACAGCGGAGGTCTCCAGAGAGTCAGCTGCCATGGTGGTAAGAGGCCCACTGGCTACAGTAGAGGTCTCCAGAGAGCCAGTTGCCATGGTGGTGAGAGGCCCACTGGCTATAGTGGAGCTCTCCAGAGAGCCAGTTGCCATGGTGGTGAGAGGTCCACTGGCTACAGCGGAGGTCTCCAGAGAGTCAGCTGTCATGGTGGTAAGAGGCCCACTGACTACAGTAGAGGTCTCCAGAGAGTCAGCTGCCATGGTGGTAAGAGGCCCACTGGCTATAGCGGAGGTCTCCAGAGGGCCAGTTGCCATGGTGGTGAGAGACCCAATGGCTACAGCGGAGGTCTCCAGAGAGTCAGCTGCCATGATGGTGAGAGGCCCACTGGCTACAGTAGAGGTCTCCAGAGAGCCAGTTGCCATGGTGGTGAGAGGTCCACTGGCTACAGCGGAGGTCTCCAGAGAGTCAGTCGCCATGATGGTGAGAGGTCCACTGGCTACAGTAGAGGTCTCCAGAGTGTCAGTTGCCATGATTCGATCAGCCATAACATGTAATGCCAGAGAGTGTCTTAGTAGTTCAGCAGAGTTCCTGTTTGCACTAATTTCCAGGTTTGATGACTCCTTGCTGGAAACTTCCCAGGAGGCCACTGACTCAGATTCATGGAGGTCACTGCTGGCAGCAGTGGAAGTCCCAGAAAAGGACACTTCAGTGGCTGAATAAAGATCTGAGGAAGGTGGGGAGATCTGGTGCCTAGTGCTGTTGACCTCTTCAGGGACTCCTGTTATTGCAGGGTAGGGGGTCACTGAGTTGAGGTTTGGGGCCTCAGAGAAAGTTGAGACCCAAGAAGCAGAGGTCTCTCCAGGTACAGACATCACAACTTCTTTGGAGATCTTCAAAGTGGTTGTGGTGTCTAGAAACTCTGTGCTCACTTTGTGAGTCCAGACGACCCCAAAGAGGAGGAAAAACAGGACCACTTTCATGGCAGCTGCCATGAGCAGGAGTGAAGAAGACCTGAGGGTGGAAAAGTTGGAGAAATATGAATACATGAAGAGCTAAGGGGAGAACCTGGCTAGACCCTCCCTTTCTGCCCACTTCCCTGCTAACTGCCAGTCCTAACTTGTGGTTTAACGGCTTTTTCCACCCTTGCTTCTACTATTATCAGAAAGAACAAGGGAATGGATGCTGGCGGCTCTACCATCAACTTGGACCCACTTGGGCCCCCTCAAGCCTCAGCGGCTTGCGCTCCAGCAATGGCCATTCCTCCTGGTTTTCCCTGACCCTATTCAGCCCTGATGGCTCCTGATCCTTTTTTTCCCATCATCTACCAGGGTCTGTTCAGCCCATTCCCAACTCCACAAAGGCTCCTGCCCTCCCAGGTCACATCCCTTACCAGTAGCTCACTTGATGAGGACACAAGGTTGGGGCCAGGCTGCTCCAACTCCTCCTGAAGCTGGGGAGGACTGGGCAGATGGGCCCCAGGGGGAAAGGAAGTAGCCCTGGCTCCACCCACCCCACCCCAGCATCCTGCCCCACCCGCACTGCTCCCACAGCTGTTGTTTGATGGTAGCTCCAGTGCTTCTCTTTCTAGGGTCTGAGATGGTGCCAGGGGCTCTGGGGTCTCAGCTGAGGCACATGGGGTTGTGGAGGGGGAGGGGTTTAGAATGGGGACTTAGCTGGGAATCCAGATGGCATGAAGCTGGGGTAGGGATATGGGTCAGAGCAGGGGTGATGCAGTGGAGTGCCTAAGAACAAGGGGGTGCAGAGGAGAATATGGGAGGCAAGAGTGGTTTTCTTTGCATTTGTGGTTCCCAAGCTGTTAGGCCCAAACCCAGGGCACCATTTCCTGCCTGAGAGTTCCCAGGATGTACAATGCCCTGACTCTGGCTGGGGGCACTAAAGGCTTTTGCAGGCTGTGTGCAATTTCTAGTGGGCTCTTGGTAACTTCTCAAGAAGCTGGGGGAGGGGGTCACTACAATGGCCTCTCGCTGTGGGAGTTTAATTAGACCAAGGTGGTTTCTAAGGATTCATGGGTTACGATTTTACTTTTGTGGAAGATTGATAAAGATATAGGATTCTATATGAAAAACAGTCTGGACACGTATCTATTTGAGGCATTAGTCAGGTTTCTTTGGACAGGTGTCAGTAGGTTTCTTTATTTTCTTCTTTAGATGGTTACTCTTTGTTTTTATGAGTTTTTTATTTATTTGAGAGAAAGAGAGAGACAGAGATTGCGAGAGAGATAACAAGAGAGAGCATGAGTGGGGAGAGGCAGAAACCCTACGCAAGGCTCCATCCCAGGACCCTGAGATCATGACCTGAGCCAAAGGCAGATGCCCAAACGACTGAGCCACCCAGGTGCCCCTGGAAGGTTGCTGTTTTCTGAATTTCCTCTAATTTTTTTTCTCCTCCTCCTTTTGTGTGTGTGTGTGTGTGTGTGTGTGTGCCTATATATTTTTTCATTTCTTTTCTTTTTTCTTTTTTAAAAGATTTTACTTATTTATGTAAGAGAAAGTGAGCACACAGGGGAGAGGCAGAGGGCAAGGGAGATAGTCCCAAGTGGGCTCCACACACGAGGCTCCATCCCATGACCCTGGGATCATGACCTTAGCCAAAATCAAGAGTCAGACACTCAACTGACTGAGCCACCTGGGCACCCCTCTTTTTATTTCATTTATTGATTGATTTACTCTCTTCTGATTTGTAAGCTTCAACTTTCTGTGTATGTCTGGTTTTGTTTTTTGCCTTTTTAAAAAAAATTAAAAAAAATCAAAACTGATTTTTATATTGTAAAAGTATACGTATGTCATAAATGATTGAGCAGGCTACTTTCAGGGCCTGGGGTTATACCCCACTCTCAAGCTAACGAGTTAGTCTGACACAGATACATGAGACGCCTGGATCAGAGGCAGAGGAATCCATTACTCACCTCAGAGCAAGCAGCAGGAGCATAATGTTTGCACCAGTTCCTCTCTCCCTCAAGTCCCACAGGGGTGACACAGAGGGGCTTGCCCTGCAGCTGAGGAACACTGGGCTTGGGGCATTTCCCTCTATTTGAACAGGTGGAAAGTAAGTCTTCTCTTCAGGGAGCCATCCCTTATACCTCAGAATTATTCACTGCAAACAAAGCCCTGAGAAATTGCTGGAAGGTAGAGCGCCCAGGACCTGACAGTCTTGTCATGCTAGCAAGAGTGTGTCGGGATGCTCGGAGCCATGATGGATTGCGGTGGATCGCCTCTCCTGACAGTCAGGAGAGTGTAAGAGGAAAAGCTCCAAATTCTGCCACCAGATAAGCATTCATAACAAAGTTGCAGTTTGTGTCTGTGTTTATGAAAGCATATATGCATGTAATTCATTATGTTAAATCTTATTGTACACAATGTTTTGTACTTAACAAATAAAAGAAAGAAGGAAAGAAGAAAGAGATAAATGTATGCTATATGTTGGCAAATCGAACTCCAATAAAAAATAAATACAAAAAAAAAAGAAAGAGATAAAGGAAGAAAACAATGTCATTGTCAGACATTGTCAGAATGTCTTCCATTGTCAGACATTTAGGTTATTTCAACATGTTGCTATGGCAACAGAAAAGTACAAATAATTGGCTGAAAAATAATTGGAGGTTAATTTTTTTTTCTAATTTTAAAGAGTCAACAAAAATATTTGTAAGATTACACAAAGAGGGACTCCTGGGTGGCTCAGGAGGTTAAGCATCTGCCTTTGGCTCAGGGCATGATCCCAGGGTCCCCGGATCAAGTCCCACATCAGGTTCCCTGCGAGGAGCCTGCTTCTTTGCCTGTGCCTCTGTCTCTAATGAATAAATAAATAAAATCTTAAAAAAGAAAAGACTACACAAAGATTCCCAATATTCCACTCTTAAAATTACTAAGGTAGGGGGAGCCTGGCTGGCTTAATCAGAGGGGCATGGGACTCTTGATCTCGAGGTCAGGGGTTAGAGCCTCGTGTTGGGTGTAGAACTTGCTTAAATAAATTAATTAATTAAAACAAGACAAATCAAGAGAGGGTGGGAGAAGGGATTTAAAAAAAGACAAGACAAATCCAAATAACTCAGAGGAAAAAAACTTTTTAAAAATAATTTAAAAAGAGGGACTCCTGGGTGGCTCAGCCGTTGAGCATCTGCCTTTGGTTCAGGTCGTGATCCTGGAATTCCAGGACAGAGTCCCACATCGGGCTTCCCTCATGGAGCCTGCTTCTCCTTCTGCCTATGTCTCTGTCTTTCTATGTGTCTCAAATAAATAAATAAATAAATAAATAAATAAATAAATAAATATTTTTTTAAATAATAAAAAAAAACTGAAGCAAAATGCATTCTTGAGAGAATGTCATTCTAACCAAATTGCTGCTGACAAAGTTGTGTGCTCCCTGGGCTCTCTGTGGGGCCCCAATTCTGGGGAGAGCAAGGAGAAGGAGGCTGGTCCAGGCTCTGGCCTCAACGTTCAAGAAACAGGGACCTGTCAGCACAGAATGTAGACCGTGGGCTGGGGGGAGAGATGATGAGAATGTGAACTATAGGGGTGATCATTGCCCTCAAGCCATCACAGAAAAGCAGTCTTTAGAAAACTCTGGTAGCAGTGGTCTGCCATCTATAGAACCAAAGATGGTGCATGGTTCCAGCTGCTCCTCACCGCAAGCCCATTTTACAGGTGAGGAGGCCAAGGACAGAGAGGTTAAGTAACCTGCCCCAGAACAGGCCAGGCTCAGTGCCAAGCGCTTCCCATTTACAGAGCACTCACTCTTCACAGCTACTCTGTAAGATGCATGTCGTTGCGCTCATCTTACAGGTGAAGAAACTGAGAAATGAAACAGTTCAGAGACTTGTCAGGGCTCAGACAACCAGCGAGTGCTCTCACCCACCTTGAGTCCTCAGAATGGCCAACAAGGCTGTAGCCCATCTGACCCTCCCTCCCTCTCCTGCCGTCCTTCCCTCTGTTCCTGCCACCTGCCCCTTCATTGTGGTTTCTGAAGAACCCGAGCCTTGGTGGCCTCGGTTGCCGCCACTGCCCCACTTGGAAGGCTCTTCACCCAGACAGCAAGATGGCTCCGTTTCTCCCAAGTTTTGGCTCACATGTTACCTTCTCAGTACGGCTCCACCCTGTTTAAGACTGTGCCCTCCCCCGGGGCCCGCGCGCCGCGTTCCGCCCGCCACCGCAGCGCTTCACACCTCCTCATTTGCTGTGTCCGCTCTACCTCGTTTGTGTCTTTCTGGCCCCACCGGAACGAAAGCTCCGGGACAGTACAAGTGTGTGTTTGCTGCTGTCCCAGCGGCACCTAAAAGGGCTTCGTACACAGTAGGCGCTGGGTCCTGTGCAGTTCTCTGGCCACGAGAAAGAGAGGGTCTGTAGCAGGTTAGAGCAGGGCGAGGGGTGGGGCCAGGGTAGGGAAGGAGGGGGGGCTGCAGGCGCCCGGAGCGCGGGGACTGCGAGGCCCGCCCGGCCCCCACCCCGACCTCCCGAGGCTTGCGCGCTGCGGAGCGATGCCAGCGACTGGTGTTCTATGAAGATACCGCTTCCCTCCTCCCAGGCCCTCGCTCCTCGCCAGGGTTTGGACTTGCAGCTCCGACCTTCTGCAGGTCTTTGAGGGGCCGTTTCCTGCCAGACACCGCAGCAGATAGGAGTTGGCGCCAGAGAGGCTGCCCCTCCCTGGCCCGAAACCGGGTCGCCAGGGAAGCCCCAGGAGGGGGCACAGGGGCACCTGAGCGGCTGTCGCCTCCTCTCGGTGTTTCCTAGGCTCAGTCATTTCATCCCTTTGCCTCAGTTTCTTCATCTGTAAAATAGGGATAATAATACTATTTTTCAAAGTTCTTGGGAGGATTAAAGTAGCTGGGGGGCGGGGAGGCTCCTGGTAAGAACCTCATATAAAGATAGCTGATGTAATAAGAAATGAATTGAGGGCCGTCTGGGTGGCCCAGCAGTTGAGCGTCTGCCTTTGGCCCAGGGCGTGATCCTGGAGTCCCAGATGAAGTCCCACATCAGGCTCCCAGCATGGGGCCTGCTTCTCTCTCTGCCTATGTCTCTGCCTCTCTGTGCGTCTCTCAAAAATAAATAAATAAAATATTAAAAAAAAAAAAGAATTGATAAGCCCAGTTCTGATCTTCCAGGTCAGAATCCAGAATACAGGATTTGGGCTTGCTTTGGGGCCTGGGGCCCTTTTTTCCCATCCATTACCCGGTCCAGGAACAGGGCAGGCACAAGCATTTGTCCTCCGAGGAATTTCCATCTGGCCAGAGAGATGTTTATGTACTAATTTATTCACTGAACATAATTGTTTAAATTTTCATCAAAGCAATGATTTTATAAGTACAGAGGATTTATCTCGAACAGCAATTCTCCCCTTTCCTTCTCAAGTCATGGTCCTGAAAAAAATTTTTTTAGTGCTTTTAGCTTACTCTAGTCTCGGTTCTTCTCATGGGTCCATATCCC